GCCACGGCTGTTTCCATCAATATTTTAATTTAGATTCCTCCTTGTTTATAGCTGACGTCTCTAATTCGAAAATCACGCCATTAGCTGCCTCTTTTTCTTTACATGTGTTTAATGGTGACTCCGTTCTTGGTTTTCTCTGATACCATGTCTAAGGTTATTTTGTAGTTCCTTCTGTGTAAATCATTAACTCAGTGCCTGTGACTGCCTATATTATGGTTGTTCCATTATTATTACACCTATTCCTTGTCATTCCATTTACACAAGTGTAATGAAAGTATTTTCAACATAATCTGAAAGAAATTTACTGAAAGACCTCAATATCCATCAGCGCTTCAAGTATTATGAACTTACGCATGGCTAAGCAAATTTAAATCAATATTCACAACCCCCCCCGGATATCCAATTTACAGTTCTTCAGTTAGTCAAGACTAATTAAAAAGATACATTCTAAGAATGAAAGATTTAATATTTCACCAGTTTCGATTTGCCAATCTTCTTTTATGTACTATGTCCTCTACAACTTCCGTCAGTCTGTTTCTCATTTCAGATAAAAGTGTTATAGCTGCAATTATCTATAGAACTTCCTCGTTGATCACAACCGTCTATAGAACGACAACACTTTTGCTTCAAGTCTGTTGTTCTTTCGTAAGCAATTGTCCAGCATTCACTGTCATACTTGCTTATGAATACAACATAGTAGTTCAGCACATTTCCCTTTGTTTCTGACGGAATTTTACTGTGTCTTAATAATTTTAATTTCTGGAAAGCATCTTCCGATATTTCGACGCATCTTAGAATCACAACTCTTTTGTTTCAAGTATTGTGTTCTTTCGTAAGCAATTGTCAAGCATTTATTGTCATACATGATTATGGATACAACATAGCAGTTCAGTACCTTTCACTTTGTTTCTAACGAAATTTTACTATGTCCTAATTTTAATTTCTGGAAAGAATCTTCCGCTATTTCGACACATCTTCGAATTTATGTGCCACACCGTCTTTCGGATGTGACTGCACTATTTTTTAAATTTTGTAGACCTGCTTGTTTATATCTGATGTCTCTAAATCGAAAATCACGCCATTAGCTGCCTCTTTTTCTTTCCATGTCTTTAATGGTTTTTCCTTTCATACTTTCCGATGGTTATTTTGTAGTTTCTTTCTGAGTTAATCATTAACTCAGTGTCCCTGACTGTATATATTATGGCTGTTCCATTACTATTACACCTATTCATTGTCTTTCCACTTACACAAGGGCCTTAGGTATGCCACTTACTGTTTTCTTCTGTCTTTCCCACCTTCAATATGCTCCGTATCTGTCAAATTGTTCAATTCCTATTTTCCTCATTATGTGCCCCATAAATTTCAACTTCCGCTTTCTGGTTCTAAGCAGAAGAGTCTTTATTTGTCCCAGTTTTTTCTATGACACTCAAGAATTCGCACCAAAGTTAGCAAGAGCAATTTCCTAATTTCGGAGTTATGTTTAGAAATCTCTTACTACAGAAAAGTTGTTAGTATAGCGGAATCGATTCCGATATTTTTTCAAACATGTCATAATTCAGACGCTTACAATGCTGATTTTCTAAGCGTAGGTTATGTGTGGCACAAGGTTGAAAGTATGTGGCACCCAGTGAGGATCAAACTCACTCCACAGTCGTAAGTGTTCTAGCGAGACAAGCTTATTGTCATTACACGACGTCGAGTTACATTTGTGGAGTTTGAAATTAAATGATTGGTAACATAAACTTGCAGAACATTGCTAAAACGTATTCTGTTACACAGCGTTATTTAAAATTCGTTAGTCCATGTTTGCATTTCCGGTGTCTCGGCTTATGGAAGACTTGTGTCGTGCACTCTTCATGATCCAAGGTTCGGCTCCTTTAGTATTTGATTTCTGTGCTGCTGAGTTTTTCAGTCCGTATTCATTAGAATATAACAAATATAATAAAAATAAAAATATAATATATATATATATATATATATATATATATATATATATATAGATAGATAGATAGATAGATAGATAGATAGATAGATACATATATATATAATATTTAACATTTATAATATTATAATAAATTTAAGAAAAAGTAAATTTAAATACATTTATTCGTCTAATCTGAAAATTATAATTATTAAAGTACAGCAGGAATGGGTAGGTAATACTTTGAGAGATTAACAGTCTAATATATTCTTTGAGAGATTAACAGTTTAATATATGCTTTGAGAGATTAATAGTCTAATATATTCTTTGAGTGATTAATAGTCTAATATATTCTTTGAGAGATTAATAGTCTAATATATTCTTTGAGAGATTAACAGTCTAATATATTCTTTGATAGATTAACAGTCTAATATATCCTTTGAGAGATTAACAGTCTAATATATTCGGTAGAGCTAGTTCTAAAATCCATGATTCTCTCACACCAACCATCTCGGTCTTACTTTCATAGTCGGAAACTCATTAAGGTGTCATCATGTGTCATAACACACTAACGTAGGTGGTTACTAGGCGACTAATGCGTTTTTATCCATAGCTAACTAGAAGATCACTCACAAGTTCTTGTTTTGCACGTCTGCAGTGTCCTTCAACACGTATTCTGAGTTCAGGTATAACTATCAGAGATGGCTCTATGGAACTGTGATTTAGTTGGATGTTGTCTCCAAGAGATGTTAAGTATCCGAGTGTAGTTTCAATCAAGCTTAGATTCAAGGATTTTAGTTAAAGTCCAAGCAGTGTCACATTACATTAAAATCGACACTACGGTTGCGTGAAAGAAGATCAGTCTGAAGTTGTCGGGTAGATCAGATTTCCTGATTACATCGAGTTTATTCGAGTTTTGGCTATTTAAATTTTAGCTATGCTATTTTTCACGTACGTTTCAGTAGAATTAAATTATCTATCCTGATATGTAATAGATTCAACAGATTTTATCGATTCACCTGTAGTGTTTCTATTGTTCGTTGGTGTTGAAAGTTATGTATTCAGTTTTACAGGTATTAACGTAGAATGTAACATCGTTATCAGCATTTTCTAGATAATGTAGGAGAGTTGTGCCATTAGGAAAGGTCGATTTGGGGACCGTAGTATTGCATTCAATTTGGAAGTTGGTGTTTGACATGATAAATAACGGTTAAAATATTCTTTTCCAAAGCATTACCATTTTAGGGAGAAATGGGTTTGAAGATTAAGTTTAGGTTCAAAATCCTCGTGTTGGAATTCCATTTCAATGTTTAATGAAAGCCTTATTAGACACACAGCCTTATAAAGTTTATAATTTTCTGAAGCTTAGAAAATTGTATATGGAAAAAGATGCATGACACAATCTCATTATTACGAAAACATTGCGCCATCAAATAAGAGCCTCATTTACTTCAAAGGGAAATTATACTAAACAATTTAGCTATATTATGGCTTAATGTGTCCTACAGTACAGTAGGTTTAGTGCGATTTTCAATATATAATATAAATTTAAAATTATAATTTGTGTCCAACAAGATTATAGTGTTATATACACATTTATCTATTTATTAATTAGGATATAACAAATGAATCTTATTTGTTGAGTAGCCATTTTTGCCATCTTTTACTCATTTTGCACAGTTTTTACTTACCGAATACAGCAAATAAATTGCATATTTAACTTGTGATGATTCATAATTAGAATTCTGATTTACATATATTTTCCACTATTTACATTATTCGAACTATTGTCCTCATCCATATCGCCATATTTATTACAACGTTTCGGCCGTTGTAGGCTCCGTCCTTCTTCAGGTGGTTGAAATGTCGAACTGAACCCTTTATTTCGCTCACTGGGGTAGACTTTTCTAGATCCACGTTCCATGTATAATGGATGTCAGTTATCAGTTATCTCCTATTAATTCCCCTCTCCAAGTTCTCCACTGCCTTAACCGGGTATTGAACTCATACTCTTTGCTTCCTGTCACTGGATCTAACCAACGCCTTTATCCACTGGGCCATCTTCGACAAAGATAGTCCGAATAATGTAGTGTGCATAATACCTCATCTCAGAAATATAGACAGATACTGAATATATTTTCCATTTAATGTATCTAATACAAAAGATTTATTTGCATTTATTCTTGAGATAGTAAAATTTTTAAGTCACTTTATGGGCAAAAACCAATGAAAAATTCGGTATTTTTAAAACTAAATGCTTCAAAATTGCTAAACGCTATGTATCTATTTTTGTTGTGAGTACATAACACGTCAATCGACATCTTTTACAGTCAGTGCCATGTTATCTTGAAAAATCAACTTGCCTTACTGTGGAATTGGTAATGGTGTTTGTAGTGTTATCTAGGCCATCTGCATAATCAATCTCGCTCAACTTTACCTTCATAGTCTTCCTGATAAAGATACGAGTTTAAATGTATGGTATAGTGACAGCCGGTCATCTCCGAAATTTACTATTGTGAGACCGTAACATACCTACAACATGGACTCTTCCAGGATTATATAAAGTATACTCTAGAGAAGAAGAAGAAGAGGAGGGGAGAGAGAGTATTCTAATACCGGAGTATCAGCCGCGTACGACTACCAATATTGGACACTAGTACATAGTAAGCTCCGCTTACACTTACACTATCTTTGTAACCTTTTTATTTAATATGTCTTTCTTACCTCTAATCCGTGTTCCGTGTTTTCCTTCCGTGATCCCAACTTTGGGTCCACATCATTTACATAAAAAATAAATGAACTATAACATTCTGTTGCTTAAATAACAGCAAAACATTGCCATATAATTTAAAATGTTAGCGAAAATGTCTTTACCAATATGTGATATGTCGTATTCTTCAACGCCTACATTTAAAAGACTTTTCATTGTTTAAACAAGTTTCAAACATTTTTTTTTTTCGATAAACAATAACAACAAAACTCTGAATATCGTCTCTTCCTGAAGTTGGATCTTTCCACCTGCGCTCGACTGAGTTGTCTGCAAGTGATAACGCCTGTCTGCCTGCCTCGTTAAATTACA